AGATACGTCTCCATTTCTGCAGCTTCCCTAGTAGGGTTGAACACTGTGTTTCAAGAGCTTGCTACCTGATGCGAAAAAAAATCCCTATTTCTCAGGAATGTTATCTCATGTGATCAGTAGCCTGTACCGGCACACTTTGGGTGCACTATGAGGATATTCTCACGAACACGAGAGTGAATAGTGACAGTGCTATAAAAAAAAGTCCCCATCGGCGCAAGCTGATTTGTCATACCATAGCACCATAACACTGTTTTGTATTTGGTTTTCTAGATACACCTGCGTTTATGCAGCTACCATAGTCCATGTGAAGAGTTAGTACTGGCAGGGGGTGTGTGCTACAGAGGGATACTCACTACACTTGGCGAGGTGTAAACCGCTTCTCGGGGTACATACACTTGAGAGTTCACTTCAGTCCTGGACTATGTTCATGACTATAGCGTTCTTGCCGGTTGGTCAGTAAGCTCTTGCTGTGGCCTTAATGACCTCTGCAGAGCTTGATAGCTCTATAACGCTCCAAGCCAACGGCGTGGTTTGAGAGCGCTCTCTTACCTACAACTTCCATGTCTGGGAGCGAGAAATTAACGAATCTGGGGTTTCTTTTCCTGAAAGTTTATGAGCCATTATCAGTTTTGATGGGCCGGAATATATCCCTCGCTTACTGGATATTTTATGATCCAGCAGGGCTCTAAGGATTGTCCAAGAGACGTACACGCTCCCTTCCTGTGCATGTGTGAGTCAGATATTACGATGTTAGGATAACCTAAGATATCTTCTCTCACTTCTAATATCTTTGTTAATATGTTAGACGGAAGGGAAGTTTCAAGGGAAAGCGCCGAGCCATTACGACTATATAGAACTAGGAAGGGGTCAGAATAAGGATTTGGGATGGGACGGGGGCGTTGAGCAGTTCCTTGACACACTCGCTCCTTTTGAGCTGGTTGAAGCAGCTCTTCTCTACTGATACAGTCGAGTAGGAGTTCCTCATGTCAGCCACTTTACCTGCGGGGAGGTCAGCAGTTCATGGCTATACCGCTGATGAATGATGAACTTCGGCGATAAGGTTTTAGTCAGCAGAGAGCCAACATGTTTTCAATGCTTGTGTGAGAGTAAGTGTGTGAGTGCGCGAGAGGGTGAATGTGTGAGTGCGTGACAGGGTGAGTATGTGAGAGCGTGAGTGTTTCAGTGAGTTGGTGCGCGAGACCGTGAGTATGTGAGTGTGCGAAAGCGTGTGTGAGTGTGTGACTGTGTGTGAGTGTGTGAGTGCGTGTGAGTGTGTGCGTGGACTTGTTCATGTCTGTGAAACTTTTCCTCTGATGACTGTACTTTAATACTGCGACAAAAACCGCGGGTGAACGCAAGCCTTCTTCCTTGCCAGTCTCTCCTCCTCCTTCCCCCCCCTCCTCCTCCTCCTCTTCCTCCTCCTCCAACCCCACACCTCCTCCTCCTCCCCCTCCCCCCCCATCTGTGTCCCAGAGAGCTCTCCAAATCCGAACACTTCTTTAAGATAACGATCGACTTCCTACAGACAGAACCTCTGTGATCCCTCCCATGATGTCTCCTCCCATCCTCTCCCCTCACTAATACCCCCATGGTCTCCCCTCCCATGGTAGCCCCTCCCATGGTAGCCCCTCACCATGGTAGCCCCTCACCATGGTAGCCCTCACCATGGTAAACCCTCCTATGGTATCCCCTCACTGACCCAACCGACACTTTAGGTAAAGCTGGTGATGATAAAGTTTACTGTTATCGAGGAATTAAGTGTTGCAGACCAAGTCTGACTTGAGACACACGAGAGAGACGAAGCAAGTCTCTGGTGTTTTGACTCACCAGTTCAGGAGGACATTACTGGGCGCTGCCTTCTACCATTCCTTCCCCCAACCCCCGTCCCATCCCACATTCTTATCCTGACCTTCCTGCCTAGTATGACAAAGAAATTAGTACAGTAAGAAAAGGCTAGTATGAGCCTATCACACACACAGAGATCACACTAACGTGCAGGCGATGAGTCACAATAACGTGGCTGAAGTATGTTGGCCAGACCACACACTAGAAGTTGAAGGGACGACGACGTTTCGGTCTGTCCTGGACCATTTTCAAGTCGACTTGAGAATGGTCCAGGACGGACCGAAACGTCGTCGTCCCTTCAACTTCTAGTGTGTGGTCTGGTCATCACACTAACGTGATGCATCAAATGAACAAATCCACAAGGGCCGTGACGAGGATTCGAACCTGCGTCCAGGAGCATCCCAGACATTCAGTCGATTAAGGCAGTGTCTGGGATGCTCCCGGACGCAGGTTCGAATCCTCGTCACGGCCCTTGTGGATTTGTTCATTAGTATGAGGCTATGTTCAGCACCCCAATAAACAACATACTAGTTGAAGTTCCAGACAGTTTCTTTATGAATAACATCCAAACTCTAGATAATATAACTGATGTTAACACGAGCACAGATGACTTGGAAAGATAAATTAACAACATGCCCAAGTACTCAGCCTCAGGTCCTGACGTGGAGTACAATATTCATAAAGGAATGAATACTTTTCATTTGATCATGAAATGAAAGTACCGGTAACACGAGCGCTCACTGTAATATGCAGAAAGAGCCTAGATATAGGCAAGATACCAGTTGCACTTAAATCCTTAAATCAGCAGATACAGCTCTTCGACACGGAGGAGGTGGTAAAGCTTTGGCAAAAAATTATAGACCAGTTGCTCTAACATCACACATAGAAATTTTTGAAAGAGTGATTAGGAATCAAATTTCAAGTTTTATGGATAAGAATGACCTACACACCCTAGAACAACATGGATTTAGAGTGGGAAGATCGTGTCTGTCACAGTTACTCAACCATTATGACAAAATCACAGAAACCTTAGAACAAAAACAAAATGCAGGTGTTGTATACACAGACTTTCCAAAGGCGTTCGACAAGTGTAACCCATGGAGTGATAACCCATAAAATGAGATAAATAGGAATAACGGGAAAACGGGGCGTTGGATTTTCAACTTTCTACAGAATGCAGAGAGTAATAGTCAATCAAATAAAATCATGCCCAAGTGCAGTGAAAATCTCTGTACTCCAGGGCATAGTCTATGCACAACTGCTATTTCTCATTTTTATCTCGGATATAGACAAAAGTATTAGTCACAGCTTCATGTCATCTTTTGCAAATGATTAAAAAATCAGCATGAAAAATTCCTCTGTAAATCACACTGAAAAATTACTACCCGATATGAATAAAGTCTTCGATTGGGCAACTGAAAATAGCATGATGTTTAACGGTGATAAATTCCAGGAACTGAAGTATGGTGGGAACGAGGACCATGAACGAACCACAGGGTACAGGACACAATCAGACCTACTCATAGAAGGAAAGTAACATCTAAAAGATTTAAGAATTACGATGTCTGACCACCTGACATTTAGTGAACCTAACCCAGCAAATATACAACGCTATTTAAATCACTTGTATTGTCCCGTCTTGAGTACTGCTCAGTACTCAGTTCCCCTTTCAGAGCGGGAGAGATATCTGAATTAGGGAGAATACAGAGAACATATACGACACGCAAAGAAATGATAAGACATCTAAATTATTGGGACCGTTTCAAAGGTCTCTAAATGTACTCTCTGAAAAGGAGACGAGAAAGGTATCAAATAATGTATAAAAGGAAGATACTGGAGGGCCAGGTCCCGAATTTGAAAAGTAATATAACAACATACTGGTTATCTTATCTTGAGGTTTTCTTGAGATGATTTCGGGGTTTAGCATCCGCTGTGGCCCGGTCTTCGACTAGGCCTCCTTTTTTGTTACACACCCCCAGGAAGCAGCCTGTAGCAACTGTCTAACTCCCAGATACCTATTTACTGCTAGGTAACAGGGGCATCAGGGTGAAAGAAACTTTTTGCCCATTTGTCTCCGCCTCCACCGGGGATCGAACCCGGAACCTCAGGACTACGAATCCGTAGTGCTATCCACTCAGCTGTCAAGCACCCTTCGCCCTGGAGCAAAAGATATGGAAGGAAATGCAGAATATAACCAATGTGGAGTAGAGGTGCCATAGGCACGATCAGAGAGCACTGTCTGAACATCAGAGATCCACGGCTGTTTAATACCCTTCCAGCAAGCATTAAAAATATTGCTGGAACAAAGATGGATGTGGATTATCATCGGAAACAAGAGACACTTAAATAAGTTCATGCAAGAAGTGCCGGACCAACCTGGGTTGTAGTGGGTATGTGGGCCTGCGGGCCGCACCAAGCAACAGCCTGTTGGACCAAGCTCTCACAAGTCGATCCTGGCCCCGAACCGGGCTTGGGGAGTAGAAAAACTCCGGATATCCTTTTCAGGTGTGCATCTCTTATTGTTGGGATCACAATCATCTCTTCTCGTTGGGATCACAATCATCTGGGGCATCTCACAATCATCTGTGGGGCATCACACGCAACCCGTGTGCATCTCTTATTGTTGGGATCACAATCATCTCTTCTCGTTGGGATCACAATCATCTCTTCTCGTTGGGAACACAATCATCTCTTCTGGTTGGGATCACAATCATCATTGATCAGTGAGAACAACAATCATCACTCATCACAGGTGGCACAATCTTCACCAAGACCTGTATTATATATAAAGTCGTGATGTATGCCCAACAGGTCTCGTGATTTCCCACAACGTAATAAATACAACTGATTTACCAAACCAGAACCTAAGCAATCGCCACCTATGTTATCGAGGCAGATGAGCAGAGAACGTCTATATTACGGTGCTTTTATTTTGATAATACACCGTTTTTTTTTAACGGTTGGATCGATTCCTTAAAAAAAAATGATGGGGTGGGTGAGGATGGGTATGGTGACCTGACAGGTGGGAGAGGGATGGGCACAGAGGTTTTTCCACCAAACTCTTCCTTCATCCCTCCCTATCCCTCTGTACCCTTCCCTTCCCTCCCTTTCCGGCATTAAGAAACTAATGATATCTTTCCTTCCTTACCCTACAGATGTGAGGAGCGAGGCAGCTGTGTCCACTTCAACACCTGTGCTTGTCTACATCGCTACCTGTGCTTGTCTACGTCGCTACCTGTGCTTCTACGACGCTACGTGTGCTCCGTAAAGCTTTTGAACTTTACTTCTCGTAGACCGTAGCAAAGTCGTAGTATAATTTGCTTGCTATATGTTAATTATCTAGACGTTTACGTTGACTTTCCGATCGGGAGTTACAATATATTCGTAAAAATTGGTATATTTTTACTGTCGGTCAGTAGACGGATATATCTTATTATACTACATTAGTTAGTGCCATTAATGTTCATATAATATTATTGTATTACTAAAGAAGAAGGATTGGGGAATCAGGCCCATTGCCGTTAGCAACACCCTCCGACGCCTCGTAGCTAAGGCTGCTGTGAGATCTAGCAGTCAGGAAGCGGCAATCTTGCTGAAGCCTAATCAGCTCGGGTTTGGGATTCCCCTAGGCTGTGAAGCTGCAGCACTAATCTGGAAGAATGCTAGAGATTGCCGCGGCTCAGAAATATAAAACCAATAGACCAGTACGCAGCAATAGATCACTATCCAACCTCTCAATTGTTGGTATGATCTATTAACAACGTTTCATTGACTGAGAGATTAGAAAAACCACCTTGATAAGAATTATTAAGTAAAAGCAATTTGGTTTTATCCATAATAGAAGCACATGAGACCAGTTACCAGAGATGAATGTGCAGCTGGAGCGCCGAGATGTGTCACAACCTTAGAGGTGTTGGAGCACATTTGTTCACAGGTGGGGGACACCAGTACACGACTCCTGACTCCTCTTAGCAGGCTGAGAGCCTTCCTGTCACTCTTACAGGGTCTGGCGAGGTGGTCTGGGGTGTTCCCCCGAGGTCTGGGGGACACCCCCAGGTCTGGGGAACACCCCCAGGTCTGGGGAACACCTCCAGATCAGGGGTGCACGCTAAAGCGACCTGGGGTGATGGAAACTTTCTCTCTATCTCTGGAAATTATTGAAGGCGTTCACATTGCAGGTTGTCGTCAACAGTGACTCCTTGGACAATGTCTTCATGTTTACTTGGGTCACATAGGACTATGGGGATTGTGGCAGGCATAGTTCCACAGGACATATTAATGTACACAGGAAAAGGAAAGCCTGTTTTTAACATACATAATGTGCAATGTCCCACACTACTCTGATCCTCCCTCAGGGATTCGAATGTAAGCCGGGTGGTCATCAGCCACTAACAGCCCAGTACTATACCAACTGTCAGCGATATTTATGCAACTCCTGTTGTTGTTTCAGACTTATCTACTCTGAACGACAAGTTGCAAGCAGCACAGGTTATGGTGAGCCCATAGTGGACTTACCTGGCACAGGAGCGGGGCTGTAACTGCCCCACTGTAGAGTCCTTATGCAACTAAATAGTTTGTATATATCCTTGTTGACGGAAGGTCGCGCCCCACTAAGACACAAGGGGTATTTTGGAATCTAAAATCCCAAATGAAATGGATCTAAAATTTAGATCCATCTCATTTGGGATTCACCGACTTATTTACAGGTGTTGGACAAATACGGGACGAGTCACAGACCTTGTGAGAAGTTAACATAATACAGCCGGTACACGTGTTTGAGTAACGTTAACTGAACGTTGGATCAACGTTTAGAGCGTTGATCCAACGTTACATCAAGGTCATTCTGCCCAGATATGCTCCCAGGGGGTTGGGGAAGGGGGGGGGTTAAGGTAGACTCAATCGGCCCAAGCCCAGTGCCAGATAACCTAACCCACCAACACAAAACAGATGTGGATAGTCTGTGTTTCTACTACGATTACCTCCCCCCCCCCTCCCCTACAGGCGGTGACCACAGTATTCAAGAGCAACACTAATTCAAAGCGAAATCAGCGTCAACAATGCTCATTCAACACTGAATTAACACTGAAAACGCCGATTCAATTTTGAGCCAATATCCCACTGTTGGATATTGTGCCCACAGGCCAGTACATCACACTACCGAGGAGCAACGTCAATTCAACGTTGAACAAACGTTGTTCCAACGTTACGGTTGGATAATGTGTCAACTGGGCCTCAAGGTAACGTCTCCCCGCCCCCCCCCCCCATCCTGTTGAGCATCACACCGGAGAAGAGATGCTGCGCCTGCTCCCAGACACGCCTCCCCCCCCCTGGCCACTAACGGGGCAATTTCGACGCTCCCGTTATTAAAAACTTGCCAAATAATCTAACTCGTTTTACCAACAGGTTGGCAATCCAAACACGCATTCACTCCAGCAATTAAAATATCTGGCGAATGAATGGTTAATAACACTAAATGGTATCCAATGTATTGCCACCATCCTCGCCCTGCAGTCGATAACACGTCGAGATAACATCCACCTCCTGTTATCACCAACCGATAAACAATGTGTATAACAAAAATACTACTTCTGTTACTGGTACTATAACTACTAATATTACTACTACTACTACTACTGCTACTACTACTTCTACTAATTTAATAATAATAATAATAATAACAAGATTCATTCCACAGCAGCTTACAGGGAAAGACATAGTAGATGTAGACGCAGTGACAGTAGACGTAGACACAGTGACATAGTAGACGTAGACATAGTGACAAAATAGACGTAGACATAGAGAGTAAGTAGACGTAGACATAGTAGACGTAGACATAGAGACAGTAGACTTGTGGTCTCCCACTTGTGCGCCATACTGTCATATTGTGCTTCCTTTTGTACCTTATGTTGTAAGGTACAGCAAGACTGTCTCTTGTGGCTAAAATATTGGGAGCTCTGTCTCTTGCACCTTATAGTTTGTGTGTGATCTCTCATCGGCCTTATATTTAGGGAACTTTGCTCTTATACTTTATATCGAGTGTACTTTCTCAGGTGTGCCTTATATTATGATACTTTCACTTTAGCCTTACTTTAAAATGACTCACACTTGGGCTATGTTATTGCATAGCATATTACATTACGGTGCTCTGTGCTCTATCTTGTTGTGTTGGTGGTCTGTCTTGGGCTTTATATTTAGAGAGCTCACTCCTCTCACTCCTGCTGAGGGATTACATAAGTGAAATCCCTATCACTTAGAGATTTCACTCATGTGCCTTACATTACTGGTGCTCTATCGTGCACTCTCTCGTGCTCTATGTGCATATTTTTAACAGCTGTTTAAAAAATCTAACAATTGGTGGAAGGTAATTACTCATGTAATAAAAACAAATAATGATACTTGAGTCGTCCGTATCCTCATATATGGGTTTGTAATCCTCATGAGCCTAATACTCTAGTCACGCCTGTGGTCAATAGAATAGGTTGTGTTTCATATAAACTTTCTAAATTACTAGCTCAAGCTCTAAACTCACTTGTAGGGAAAGTTTTTAATTCAAACGTAGAGAATAATGTAGATTTGGGTGAGTTCATAATGGTGAGCTTTGATGCAACTTCTTTCTGTTGAAGCAACAACAAAATTCTGGGTGGAAGATCTACTCTTAAATCTTGTCTTGTAACATCTTAGTATGTAAGAGTCATCAAAGCGGACTTATCGGTCAGTCCAGGGCGGTACCCATCTAGATCTTCCCCCTCCTTCAACCCTCCCAATTGTGTATCCCTCAAGCCAGTTTAAAACTAGCTGTTCCATAGTAGTAGTATTAGTAGGCATCCATCAGTCTCAGGAGACAATGGAGTTGCGCTCTGGTTGTCGGTCTGGAGTGGCCTCTCCAGGGCGCAATGCCAGGGTAAGTTGATATGGGAAGCTGTTACCCATGCAGCAGGTCCCCCCCGCTCTCCACGGCGCCGAAAATCTCGATTGGAAAGGCAAACCCCGTTACGATTGGTTCCAGCGCCGTCGCAGGAACTGTCAGAACGAGGTTGAAGGCAACAACGAACCAGGGGCTCCAGCTCCATATACTTTTTCCGGGAACCAAACCTATACTTTCCCACATCCTTCCTGAAACTTTCTTAGTATATAGTTATCGTTGCGGGTTCTGACCTGGGTTGATACGTTCAATACCTGCTCATATCTCCCCTGTCGATACTCTTCATCCAGATGAGGCCTCGATCGTTTCCTCGCTGCCCTCTGCTGGCTTGGCTGGCTAACACCTCCTTGGCAAGCTTCCGACTTCTTGATTTGACACTCCGTTCGAAATCCATCCGACTTATCTAACCAGAAACGTGCAAGCGGCCCACCTAACCAATCCATCCGATGCATATGAAAACCTGGATACTTGTGCCTTATTCTGATAATTACTGCCTAGTGAGTCGTTACTTATCATAACACTTTGCGTTTGGTATGTTGGTTACAATAACGTACAAAACATGAACTATTAATTGAGAGGATCGATTGATTCTGGTCATCCTATGTTGTTCTAGATAATATGTTCTATTTTCTCGGGGTCATTTGTTATGTTGACCAGACCACACACTAGAAGTTGAAGGGACGATGACGTTTCGGTCCGTCTTGGACCATTCTCAAGTCGATTGTCTTGACAATCGACTTGAGAATGGTCCAGGACGGACCGAAACGTCGTCGTCCCTTCAACTTCTAGTGTGTGGTCTGGTCAACATACTTCAGCCACGTTATTGTGACTCATCGCCTGCATTTGTTATGTCCAATGTGGCCAGACCTGGACGGTGTAAGTCGACCCTCACCTCGGCCAAATATAAATCAACAACTTTATTGTATTTATTGCTAACGTTCCTGGCTATAATCACAACTTTTTTCTTTTGCTCTGTTAAAGGAGGCTCTGGCTCTGGTTCTTAGGTCTCCTGTTCCTCCATTTGTCATAATCTTCATCTTGTATCTGTTGAGATAGGATCAGTCACTTGCAGTACCCACGCACCTTCCTTCAACTAATGGTCTTATAGTCCATTATTATATTACTTGGATAGTTGTTGACTCTTATTATGTTATTAATACAGCCAGTCTTCCTGTAATAATGGTTCTTATAGCAGCTGTTGGGTTTAATATATAAAAATGGATAATGGGGTCCAAAGAAGTTCACGTTTTGTGTTATTAATTAGCTCAAATGAGATCATTAAATATGCAAAAGTAACTCAATAACATTAAATAACCTAACGTAACCTGCCGAAGCAAGCCTAGGCCTAATATACACTATCTTAGGACAAATAAAGCACATATATGTGGTACTCTAGGCCTAGGGATGTGTAGGCTGGCTTGTGCCTTTTTTCATGCCCTTTACTGGCTTAACAGCGCTCAACATTGACCTTGTTGGCTGCACTAGTTCATTGTTGCACGTTCTACTAAACTGTTGCAATAAGTTCTATCATTTTAGGAGTCTGGGTTCCAAATAATAATGTATTCTATTGTAAACCAAATTAGAATGGCAATGGGCAACCCAAAGCTTCTATATGTGCCATTTTTTGTTTCTTTCTGCGCTATACTCTCCTTCACTAGTTCTTTTCCTTTCACAGACGACTAGAGAGGCACTGAGGAAGGGACGCTGGCTGCCAGGTGCTGAAGGATGTAAGGGAAGACGTCAGTGTGGTGGTTGTGGTAGTGTCCTCGTGTGGTAGTGGTGGCCCCCGTGTGGCGGTAGCTACCCGGGGGTGGTGACCCGCCCGCCCATCTCAGAGGTCACGAACCCCCCAATGCCCCGCGTGTCGGCCGCTGGGAGCCCCACCACCGCCAGCGATGAGTGAAGCGTGGCGGCGATGGTGACCGCGCGGGCGCCTGGTGCTACAGGCGTGGGCATGGGCGTACCGGGATGAGCAGGGCCCCCCAATGACGGGCGTGGGTGTCGGGCGCTGCTCGGGGGCGGCGCTGGTGGTGTTGCTCACCCTCCTGGTGGGCGGCGTGGCCCGCGCGGCCTGTCCCCACGCCTGCGTCTGCAAGTGGAAGGTGAGTGAGTGTGTGCTGGCCCCCTGCGTCTTGGCCACCACGGACCCGTTCGCCAATCACAGGTCACGCTACTACATGCATGCCCCAACACAGCCAATCACAAGCACGCTACTACATGCATGCCACAATACAACCAATCACAAGCACGCTACTACATGCATGCCACAACACAACCAATCACAAGCACGCTACTACATGCATGCCACAACACAACCAATCACAAGCACGCTACTACATGCATGCCACAACACAACCAATCACAAGCACGCTACTACATGCATGCCACAACACAACCAATCACAAGCACGCTACTACATGCATGCCACTAAACAGCCAATCACAGGCACGCTACTACATGCATGCCCCAACACAGTCAATCACAGGTCACGCTACTCCATGCATGCCACATCACAGCCAATCACAGGGCACGCTACTACATGCATGCCCCAACACAGCCAATCACAGGCACGCTACTACATGCATGCCCCAACACAGTCAATCACAGGTCACGCTACTCCATGCATGCCACATCACAGCCAATCACAGGGCACGCTACTACATGCATGCCCCAACACAGCCAATCACAGGCACGCTACTACATGCATGCCCCAACACAGACAATCACAGGCACGCTACTACATGCATGCCCCAACACAGCCAATCACAGGCACGCTACTACATGCATGCCCCAACACAGCCAATCACAGGCACGCTACTACATGCATGCCCCAACACAGCCAATCACAGGCACGCTACTACATGCATGCCCCAACACAGCCAATCACAGGCACGCTACTACATGCATGCCCCAACACAGCCAATCACAGGTCACGCTACTACATGCATGCCACAACACAGCCAATCACAGGCACGCTACTACATGCCTGCCCCAACACAGCCAATCACAGGCACGCTACTACATGCATGCCCCAACACAGCCAATCACAGGGCACGCTACTACATGCATGCCCCAACACAGCCAATCACAGGGCACGCTACTACATGCATGCCCCAACACAGCCAATCACAGGGCACGCTACTACATGCATGCCCCAACACAGCCAATCACAGGCACGCTACTATATGCATGCCCCAACACAGCCAATCACAGGCACGCTACTACATGCATGCCCCAACACAGCCAATCACAGGGCTCGCTACTACATGCATGCCACAACACAGCCAATCACAGGGCACGCTACTACATGCATGCCCCAACACAGCCAATCACAGGTCACGCCACTACATGCATGCCACAACAGTGTTATGATCGCCGTCTAATAACAGGCCTTTCCGTCCTCAAGGACCATTTCCCCCCACCTAGAAAGATCGCAGATTGCTCAAGCTGTAATTTAAGTTAAGCAGGAACGATTCTTACACACAATCTTGCGTAATATTTGGCCGTCAGGGGTAAATTGTGGCAGGTTGCAAAACAAAATGGCTCCCGGGCGGAAAACAATTCATCTGGGACTTAGTGGGACGCCGCGACACATGCCTCAAGCTCATATAATGTGAGAGGTGATTGGTTGTAGTTCATGTGCTCGGCCAATCAGCAACGAGCTTTCTGTGACGTCATCGACGGGCACCGATCCCGCCACAAGGAGCAAAGCCCGGCTCACTGTTCAGCTAGACTTCGGACGTGGAGGTTGTGACCTTGGACGCTCTCGCGAAAATTGGCAAATTTGGATCTTAAGTGGTGAGTTGAGCCCAGAAGAGAGGCAACAAGTCTCCGACCACATTAAGGCGTCAAGGGGACCTTTCTGGATAAGGTCGTACGAGTATCGTCGACGAAGAGATCTGCTAAGAGTGGAAGAGACTCAATAGCATACCAGATTCAGTTGAGGGAGTCGCAAGTACCTTCATTTGGACCATTGAGGGTCAACGCGTATGGACTGACCGTCGGAGCCTAGTGAGAGTCCCGACCAGTGAGCGTCTAACGTTGTAATGACTCGGTGTGTGTGAATCAACAAAGAATAACTGTTGAAGAAACTAGTGAATACATCACCAAGGTCACGGTAAGCGACTGCTCCTTCTGATTGTCGCCTGTAGAGAGGCAAGTGGAACGTGGACTGTGACCCTACAGAGGGAGTGTTTTACTTATGTGCCAACGAAGAGGCTCTGAGTACTAGTTTGTTGACGCTGAACCCATCTATAGTAACTAGTGAGGTGAGCAAGTGTAGCAGAAATTAATATCTCTGGTTACCCTATTAAGACGGTGAATATAGTGAACAGACTGTAATGTGCTCTGTATCGAAACTGACCCAACTAGTGAAGTCGGCCATCGTGATATGTTCTCCCATGGCAGTGAAGCAGTGCACTGGGCACTACCATGAGGCTGCCGGGGAAAGGGTACATCCCACAGAGCGACGAGAGTCAAGGGAGATACAGTGCTGACCTGGGCACAGGTCACCACGTGGGTTGCAGCCTGTCCTCTTAAAAAGAACGTCGCTTTTGGCCGTTTGCTTGTATGGCCGAATTTGGACGTAATTTGAAAATGAAAAAAATATGAAAATAAATTTGGGATTTTTTTTTTTCAACAACAGTAAGTTAAGGGTCCTCTGACAGGTTAGGTGGGCAGGAAATTCTCATAAAGTTTCAAAACGTTATGAAAAACGTTAATTTAAAGTGTCCTCTCATAACCTCTGCGCGTACGCCGGACGACTCAAATAGAAAACGGAACAGAACGTCACTTTTGTGAGTCGATTTCATTTCAAATTACGTCCAAATTTGGCCATAGTGCGCATACGAGCCAAAAGTGACGTTATTTTTAAGAGGACGGGTTGCGCTACTACATGCATGCCCCAACACAGCCAATCACAGACCACGCCACTACATGCATGCCCCAACACAGCCAATCACAGACCACACCACTACATGCATGCCCCAACACAGCCAATCACAGACCACGCCACTACATGCATGCCCCAACACAGCCAATCACAGACCACGCCACTACATGCATGCCCCAACACAGCCAATCACAGACCACGCCACTACATGCATGCCCCAACACAGCCAATCACAGACCACGCCACTACATGCATGCCCCAACACAGCCAATCACAGACCACACCACTACATGCATGCCCCAACACAGCCAATCACAGACCACACCACTACATGCATGCCCCAACACAGCCAATCACAGACCACGCCACTACATGCATGCCCCAACACAGCCAATCACAGACCACGCCACTACATGCATGCCCCAACACAGCCAATCACAGACCACACCACTACATGCATGCCCCAACACAGCCAATCACAGACCAGTTCACTAAATGCATACAATTTGTGCATTTTTTCATTATACACATTTCCCAATAGCCAACCACGGACCGGTCATTACAGTAAAACCAAAGAAGCATTATAACGCCTATTGGTCCATTCTAGTCGGCTGATTTTTATATCCACCAAGACTTTTCATGTAGATATCTAACCTACACTTGAAACAATATATCGACCACAAGTCTATATGTAACGCAGTAATTTGTTCCATAAGTCAACAACCTTATTTCCAACCTAATTTTAAACCAGGTCTTTCCTGAATGTAAACTTATGGAATTTATATCCATTGTTTAGTGTTCTATTTTTTGTGTTGGTGTATTGTAAACCTTATTGTAAACTCCATTTTTTTATAACTTGTCATACACTTGTCCACCTCCATCACGTCACTTCCCCATCCTTCACAGAATGTAAACTAAACTTTCTTAAGCTCTCATAATCATGGCCTCCAATTCTTCAGGGCCAGCTTTCTGCACGCGTGTCTCAGCACAGCCAATCACAGGCGACGTAACTAAATGATTGCCACAACACAGCCAATCACAGGGCTTGGCACTAAATACACAGCTTACCACCCAGCTTCCTTTTGGAGGAATTAGTTGAGGCAGTGATTAGGTAGAACCTAACTGATAATAACAGAATGTGAGGTATTCTAGATACGTTCTTTGCAATCACTAGATAATCAAATTGTGCCTACAGATGAACAAATCTATGTTCATTTTGATTAGACATCGTCACCAAGATGAACAAACTTGGTGACTGGGACAAGTTACTTGGTTTAGTGGTCACCAGGAAGGCAGTTACTTAGCAAATATAACAATTCAAATAAGCAAGTCCACAGGACTAGATAAAGTATTTACTTTAAGCAATATAGAGTATAGCCGTGTTTAGAGCTTTCAATTAAGAAGGAAATCTTTAAAAACATAGATTAACTAAGGATTCAAAACATTGTTTTATTAAACAGAACTTTTATATATTGAATTTAATCTTATTCTCGTAGGCAGTTTCAGCAATAAATTCACACACACAGTTGTCTAGTACTGATCATATCAGACATCTATTAAAATGAACATCTAATTACTTCAGAAAATCTCAATTGTCTCAACTATATAAACACAGGAATGTATATAACATTACTATACCGGCCCCCCTTTTTTTGTAGAACATTGAAGAGGAAGTTGCATTTGGTTGCATAGGATGATGTGTAATGTTGGTCTGGTGTTGCAGGGAGGGAAGCAGACGGTGGAGTGTGTCAACAAGGGTCTCAACACCATACCTCCCGGCATAGACCACGGCACGCAGGTCCTCGACATCACTGGCAACTCTCTGGTCATACTCTCACACGAGAAGTTCAAGGTGAGTGTATTGGTGTGGTTGGGTGCAAGTGTGGGTGACTGTTGGTGTGGGTGACTGTAGGTTTGGGTTACTGTAGGTGTGGGTGACTGTAGGAGTGGGAGAGTGTAGGTGTGGGTGACTGTAGGTGTGGGTGAGTGTAGGTGTGGGTGACTGTAGGTGTGGGTGACTGTAGGTGTGGGTGAGTGTAGGTGTGGTTGAGTGTAGGTGTGGGTGACTGTTGGTGTGGGTGACTGTAGGTTTGGGTTACTGTAGGTGTGGGTGACTGTAGGAGTGGGAGAGTGTAGGTGTGGGTGACTGTAGGTGTGGGTGAGTGTAGGTGTGGGGGACTGTAGGTGTGGGTTACTGTAGGTGTAGTTGACTGTAGGTGTAGTGGACTGTAGGTGTGGGTTACTGAAAGTGTGTGTGAGTGTGGGTGTGAGTAATAGGGTCGATATTCTTACTGGTCGACCAAGAAGGTGTGATAGCAACTGCCAGTTCTCTCCTGGGTGTCCAGATATATGGGTGTATCTTTGTATGACTCTCCCGTTGACAAGTCAATGAGTGTTTAAAGTGAAGTACTTCAGCTATGTCTTATCTTCAAATATTCCTTTATTTGTAAATTATTTGGTGTTACTCACCAAGATCCCTCTCTCGTCTGGTTATGTATAGAAACTATGCAATGAATAGTTGCTTCGTTGAGAAAACTATGCAGACTCCATTCACAGCTTCATATGTAGATATGAGCTCAAAAGGCTCCGTAACGTGTACACCAGTTAAGCGACAGTTGAGAAATGGGGGACCAAGGAGCCGAAGCTCAACCCCCGCAAGTACAACTAGGTGAGTACACTCCGGGTCTTCCATCATATTGCCTTAGATATCTTTGTGTGTGTATCGCCCCGTGCCCAGTCAGTCCTCCTGATCTGTAACAGTGTATGGCACACAGCCCCCTAACTCAGCCCAGCCCCCCTTGCCTAACCCAGCTCCCAAGCCTAACCTAGCCCCGCCTAACCTAACCCAGCCCTCTAGCCTAACCTAACCCAGCCCTAGCCTAACCTAACCCTGCCGAATTAAGAAGTAAGGCAGTTGATCGACCTGATGGCCACCCAGAGGGACGCCACCAGACCTGACACAGACAGACCACTATCTATGTCTCCCCCTTCAAGTACTAGGAGGAGGTAACATCTCTACCTCTTCAAGTACCAGGAGGAGGTAACATCTCTACCCCTTCAAGTACCAGGAGGTGGTTATAACTCTGTGAAAACTGATAATGTATCTCAAGTCAATAGCGACATACAATATATGAGAAGCTCTCTGGAATAAGGCACAGTCTTTCCTAGAATAAGGCACAGTCTTCCTGGAACAAGCCAGTCTTCCTGGCCAGCTCCCACACGCAGCAGGCCAGATCCCACCACAGCAGGCCAGCTACCAGCACAGCAGGCCAGCTCCCAACCACAGCAGGTCAGCTGCCAGTCACAGCAGGCCAGCTCCCACCTTAACAAACGCTTTGTTGGTATCAAGGCGAGAGGTGGGAGGGGATTAAATTCCTCACCGCTCTGCTGAATAGCGGCGTTTGATCCGGTAGTGGGATCTCGACACGGTGCTCCAACTGCGGCTCATATATAAGAGGATTTCCCCTCTTGATTTCCTGATTGTAAGATGTGTGTAAGGCTGGGAGCACAGCTGTGGTAGGGTGGAAGCACAGCTGTGGTAGGGTGGGAGCACAGCTGTGGTAGGGTGGAAGCAGAGCTGTGGTAGGCTGGGAGGACAGCTGAGGTAGGCTGGGAGCACAGCTGTGGTAGGGTGGAAGCACAGCTGTGGTAGGGTGGAAGCAGAGCTGTGGTAGGGTGGAAGCAGAGCTGTGGTAGGCTGGGAGCACAGCTGTGGTAGGGTGGAAGCAGAGCTGTGGTAGGCTGGGAGGACAGCTGAGGTAGGCTGGGAGCACAGCTGTGGTAGGCTGGGAGGACAGCTGAGGTAGGCTGGGAGCACAGCTGTGGTAGGGTGGAAGCAGAGCTGTGGTAGGGTGGAAGCAGAGCTGTGGTAGGCTGGGAGCACAGCTGTGGTAGGGTGGAAGTACAGCTGTGGTAGGCTGAGGGCACAGCTGTGGTAGGGGGGAAGCAGAGCTGGGAGTGGGTGTGTTGTGTGGCTATTTCTGGATATTACTTTTATTATAATGGTTACTGTTATGTCCCCCCCCCTGCCCCCTTCTCCCCCCCCCCTATAGGTTCTCACACCTGCTGGTCTCTGTGTATGTGTACTCACCTAGTTGTATTCACCTAGTGGTGCTTGCGGGGGTTGAGCTCTGCTCTTTCGGCCCGCCTCTCAACTGTCAATCAACTGTTACTAACTACTACTAATTATTTTTTTCACACACACGCATACACACACACACACACACACACACACACACACTCACACTCACACTCACACACACACACACACACACACACACACACACACACACACACACACCTGGGGGGCCTGGTAGCCTGGTGGATAGCGCACAGGACTTGTAATTCTGCGGCGCGGGTTCAATTCCCGCACCAGGCAGAAACAAATGGGCAAAGTTTCTTTCACCTTGAATGCCTCTGTTACCTAGCAGTAAATAGGTACATTGGAGTTAGTCAGCTGTCACGGGCTGCTTCCTGGGGTGTGTGTGGTGTGGGGGAAAAAATAGTAGTTACTAAACAGTTGACTGACAGTTGAGAGGCGGGCCGAAAGAGCAGAGCTCAACCCCCGCAAAACACAACTAGGTGAATACACCAGGAAGCAGCCCGTGACCGCTGACTAACTCCCAGGTACCTATTTACTGCTAGGTAACAGGGGCATTCAGGGCGAAAGAAACTTTGCCCATTTGTTTCTGCCTGGTGCGGGAATCGAACCCGCGGCACAGAATTACGAGTCCTGCGCGCTATCCACCAGGCTACCAGGCCCCCCAGGTGTGTGTGTGTGTGTGTGTGTGTGTGTGTGTGTGTGTGTGTGTGTGTGTGTGTGTGTGTGTGTGTGTGTGTGTGTGTGTGTGCTATAAACCTCCCTCCGGTGTAATGGGCCGGCTAGCCATGCACATAATCACTAATACATACCAGTGCCACATCCGCCTGCAATTACCACACAATCCCAGCTGCGCTCCCAAGAACATCCCGTATACTTATCCACACAAGCATAAACATTATACCCACCGGGAAAACTTAAAATGCTCCCAAGCCGCACATGCGAATTGCTATCTCCAACAGTTCAAGAGAACCATCAACTGGTAATCTCTTCCTCCATCTGCCTTGCTCCCCGTGTGGTCCATATTCCTTCTTCGTGGTGTAATTGTGAAGGCGCAGCGGCCGATGGTGACGCTGTCACCATTACTGTGAAGGGGGGCCTCTCTGTGCTCCCAGGGTGCACACAGAGAGAGAGAGAGAGAGACAGAGAGACAGAGAGACAGAGAGAGAGAGAGAGAGAGCCAGTGGCGAGTAGAGGAAGGAGAGAGATTGGGGAGTGAACTATCACAGTGGTCAAGGAATTAATGCAATGGCATTAATGACGGGGAGGAGTGAGGTAGGGAGGGAGAGAGAGAGAGAGAGATGGAGGGAAGATCAGAGGTAGGGATGGAAGGATATTGAGAGAGAGGGACCAGAAATAATATTATAAGCAAGTACTACGAAAAACACGTGTACAGGAGCCATGGATCAGAGGATCAAGTCACATATCAGTGACACTACATTATGTATTTTGTATAAGAAGTGGACACATATGAGCCCACCACTGATACCAAATATAAATGTTTTACCAGATATCAATATTCCAGCTCAATGAAAAAGACTCCGATTCTTTATACTGATGCTCTGATAAAGACTAATTGATACGACAATTCTGTAAAAAAGATATTGTTGCTATAAAAACCGAAATTGCTAATACTCCCTATTGATGTCAACATTAAATAGATCACGACTCCTCCTAACAGGAGCTGGACGTCAGCTGAATAATTTTTTTGTTAATAACAACATTACAAAAAATAGACTAATACCACGTATACTGAGAGTGTAAAAAATATGTGATTCGTTGATACTGCAAAAAGTGGCTAATACCATTATCTCAACACTGCAAAAAATTGGCTGATACTACTGATACTGATATTGCAAAAAATTGTTCGACTCACCGTTATCGATTGTGCTGATATTGGCAGAAGCCACAGATACCGACACTGACAAAATTAGTCGATGTATCACTGATATCAAAACTTCAAAGACTGTCCGATACATCGGTGCTCTATTTCTATTCGTGTATTAGCATATTTTGTCAAGATCAGCACGTTTTATTCAGCTCATTTTAACTATTGGTGGACCTTCCTCCTATAAGGTTGTTTCAGGTATAGTAAAGCTCACCAGTAAGGTTGTGTCAGGTATAGTAAAGCTCACTAGTAAGGTTGTGTCAGGTATAGTAAAGCTCACTAGTATGGTTGTGTCAGGTATAGTAAAGCTCACTAGTAAGGTTGTTTCAGGTATAGTAAAGCTCACTAGTAAGGTTGTTTCAGGTATAGTAAAGCTCACTAGTAAGGTTGTGTCAGGTATAGTAAAGCTCACTAGTAAGGTTGTGTCAGGTATAGTAAAGCTCACTAGTATGGTTGTGTCAGGTATAGTAAAGCTCACTAGTATGGTTGTGTCAGGTATAGTAAAGCTCACTAGTAAGGTTGTGTCAGGTATAGTAAAGCTCACTAGTAAGGTTGTGTCAGGTATAGTAAAGCTCACTAGTAAGGTTGTGTCAGGTATAGTAAAGCTCACTAGTATGGTTGTGTCAGGTATAGTAAAGCTCCCTGGTAAGGCTGTGTCAGGTATAGAAAAGCTCCCTGGTAAGGCTGTGTCAGGTATAGTAAAGCTTATTATGTTAACTAACAGTGATGAATTTTGATCAGGTGAGGTCACTCATGTGATGAATTGTGGTCAGGTAAGGTCATCCCTGTGATGAATTGGAATGAGATGAGGTCACTCATACGATGAATGAGATTCTGATGAGGCCATTCATATAATTAATTGGGATCACGTGAGGTTAGCCATACGATGAATTGGGAATAGATGAGATTTTCCACGCAATGAATTGATCTGTTGTAACTACTGGGGGATTATGTCTTACGGTGCAATTGCATCTTCTAGGTCATGTATAAGTATCCCCTACAGAACTATGCAAAGAGCAGATCAGTTTTCTCTCCTCTTTTTAAGTGTCCTCGTCTTATCCAATTCTTTCTTTTCCATCTGCTACTTGTTTTGACTCTGTGTTGCTCCTGTTATTGACAGTGTTGTTGTGTGTGTTGCAGGTGATGGGGCTGACCAACCTGCAGCGGATCTACGTGTCCCGGTGCAAGTTGGTTCAGCTGGACGATGCTGCCTTCCGAGGACTGACCAACCTCGTGGAGCTGGACCTGAGCAACAATGAGCTGACCCTGGTGCCTGCAGCAGCCCTGGAGCACCTTCCGGGTCTCATGCGCCTTCAGATGTCCAACAATCCCATCACCAAGATTAAAAACGGAGCGTTCAGGGGGCTCAAGTACCTCACCACTTTGGAAATGACCTCGTGTCTCATTCAAACGCTGGAGGCTAGGGCCTTTCAGGGCCTGGATCAGCTGGAGTGGCTTAAATTGGATTCAAATCAACTCAAGTCTGTGCCACATAAGATGATGCTTCCTAAGTCTCTCCATGGTATTGACCTGCACAACAATCCCTGGAACTGTGACTGTCACCTTCAGGAGCTCCGGACATGGCTGGTCAAGTATAACGTGCCATCTTCAATCGAGCCAAAGTGTTCTACGCCTCTGCGTCTTGAGCGTCAGGTCATTAAGACTGTCCATCCAGATGACTTTGCTTGTCCTCCAGAGGTAAGACCAACTTCGCTTTTCCTAGACGTTTTGGAGGGCAAGAATGTTTCTTTCGAGTGTCACGTTACTGCAGAACCTAGTGCTCGTATATACTGGAGATTTAATGAACAATCATTAGAAAACAGTTCTTTTGTGTATGACGAAAGTTCCTCATTTTATATCTTTGAAGAGAGCGGACCAAGCGAAGAGAGAGTGAGTCATCTTCGGATTGAATGGGTGACGGACGCCCATGCAGGAGTGTTCCAGTGTCTAGCAGAAAACCAGGCCGGCTTGGTCATCTCTAACTTCACACTTCGGATCAGCCAACCGGTAGTTGAGAGAGAGCCTGAAAATTTTGTCATGGATCACATTCTATACATTGGTGTAGCTCTGGTGTCTTTAGTAGTGCTTGTATTCATCCTGTTGTGCGTGCTTATCTTCCGCTGCTGCCGACGGCGGTCAGCAGCCCAGGAGAAGGTCATGGGGTCGCCCAGTTCCTCAGGCAATGGCAGAACCAAAGAAGCACCTGCACCTTCTACCAATAATATGCCAAAATACATTCAAATGGGAACACCTGCGCCTAAGGTAAATGGCATCTCATCAGAGCCTCCGCCAATATCTGTGATTGACACGTCACCTTATCGTTCAGAACCAACGGGGGCTCAGCAGACCAACCCGGATCTGATATCTGATGCTGCTGAGGAGCGGGGGAAGTCGGGTAAGAAAAGAGTCAGCATTTTAGGAGTGGAGGAAGTAGATGCATGTGGTACGAGAACCACAAGGAAGCTTGATGACATCATGGAGGAATACGAAGATGGTTACGACCCGGCATATGACATCCTGCAGTCTCAAGGGGAACATGAATGTCGGACGAGTCGAAGCAACCCATACGCGACTCTCCCACGACGAAGGGATGTGGAGGTGGCTAACCCTTATCCCCTCACAGAGATCCCCCCTCCGGAGGACATTAACCAAGGTTCTCGCTTTTATGATAGAGATGGCTTCCCGATAGACTATGGCCTGCCTCGTGAAGACAGCGGCACTTGGAAGGAAGGATGTGGAGCAGGAGCAGGCCTGTCATCTAGTTACAACCCTCTCCCTTCAGAAGACATCCCTCTATATGCTACTGTCAGACGTAATCGCCACAGTATGGCTGGCCGAACAGACCTTATGCATGACCAGAAATATCCTGAGGAGTACCGCCTCGACAGTCATGACCCCCAATTCCACCCTCCAGATGGCCGCTACCCACAGGCCTACGGCCTCTCACCTGAGAAGTTCAACGTGGTTAACAATGGTTCGTGCGAGTTCTGCCCGCCACCGCCGCACCCGGACTTCCAGGCAGAACCAGGAGGCCGAATAGGGGGAGATGGATGCAGCTTCGACAACCTCCTTTCGTCGTGTGGGGGCGGGAGCCAGTGCTGCTATGCCGAGCAAGGTGGTCGAGTCTATGATAACTCCTTACCAGAGAATTATAGACCACTGGACCCTGAGCCACCCCCACCTGAGGGCTGGGGCGACCATGATCAGGAGACAGTGAACATGAGTACTTGGTGTGAGCATCCAGAATCGCCTGGAACACGTGTTCTATACTCCCCTGATGAGGCCTACACTGATAAGCAACAGCCTCAGGGTACTCAGGTGTGAGCCTAACAGACCAAACCCAATAACGTATGCCCCCTACCCTTCCCGTGCTCTGTGTCCTATTACAAACTCTTATAAATGCCATGAGAGACGCATGTGCAGACTCCAGGAGGGGAGTGAGTGCTCCACCACTGACCTGACGCATCAGCTCATTTGGTTTACTGATGTTGAGGCATCATCCAAGTCTCTTTGAAAAGTTTAACTTACGCACTGAATTCGGGAGTTGTGATACACAGGGTTTGTAAGGTTAGAATAAGAGTTACACATTTGTACAGCATTGACGCCAAAGATGAAAAACTCTAAATCACTAATAAGCATCTTTTTGTGAGTGGAAGATGAAACGTGTATATATATAGGGAGAGAGAAAGTGACCTAGGAGCGTGCAGTACTTAAATTACCAGGAAGAACCTTCTTCAGTAGCAGCTCATCCTTTATATATCAACTATCACTGTACAGAATAATCTATTTTGTATGAATTTTCAGTAGGTAAGAGTTTTGTATATACCAAAGAAATATTTGAGGTTTTTGAATGCTATAAACAATTCATTCAGCGCATACGGGAGAACCAGGGCGACCTGTCACACTTCTGGGAGACGTGATATTAAAAGGGGAAGAACGAAGATTTGAGTTTTGTGATGGTAGCTGTGTTTATGTTCCCTACGACAACGATAGAGGCCGTCTGCTCGACAGGTTCTGACGCAGCTGCTGCCCTCAGAGGGCTGCTGGCTGACGTTGGTGGTGGAATCATCACTGGCTGACATTGGGGGGTGGAATCATCACTGGCTAACACTGGGGGTAAAATCATCACTGACTGACATTGGGGGGGGGGGTGGAATCATCACTGGCTGACATTGGGGGGTGGAATCATCACTGGCTGACATTGGGGGGTGAAATCATCACTGGCTGACATTGGGGGGGTGGAATCATCACTGACTGACACTTGGAGGGGTGGAATCATCACTGACTGACACTTGGGGGGGTGGAATCATCACTGGCTGACATTGGGGGGTGAAATCATCACTGGCTGACATTGGGGGGGTGGAATCATCACTGGCTGACATTGGGGGGTGAAATCATCACTGGCTGACATTGGGGGGTGGAATCATCACTGACTGACACTGGTGGCGGAATCATCACTGGCTGACACTTGGGGGGTGGAATCATCACTGGCTGACACTGGTGGCGGAATCATCACTGGCTGACACTTGGGGGGTGGAATCATCACTGGCTGACACTGGTGGCGGAATCATCACTGGCTGACACTTGGGGGGTGGAATCATCACTGACTGACACTTGGGGGGTGGAATCATCACTGACTGACACTTGGAGGGGTGGAATCATCACTGACTGACATTGGGGGGTGGAATCATCACTGACTGACATTGGGGGGGGTGGAATCATCACTGACTGACACTTGGGGGGTGGAATCATCACTGACTGACACTTGGGGGGTGGAATCATCACTGACTGACATTGGGGGGGTGGAATCATCACTGACTGACACTTGGGGGGGTGGAATCATCACTGACTGACACTTGGGGGGGGGTGGAATCATCACTGGCTGACACTTGGAGGGGTGGAATCATCACTGACTGACATTGGGGGGGTGGAATCATCACTGACTGACACTTGGAGGGGTGGAATCATCACTGACTGACACTTGGGGGGGGGTGGAATCATCACTGACTGACACTTGGGGGGGTGGAATCATCACTGACTGACACTTGGGGGGGGGTGGAATCATCACTGACTGACACTTGGGGGGGGGTGGAATCATCACTGGCTGACACTTGGGGGGTGGAATCATCACTGACTGACACTTGGGGGGGTGGAATCATCACTGGCTGACACTTGGGGGGGTGGAATCATCACTGGCTGACACTTGGGGGGTGGAATCATCACTGACTGACACTTGGGGGGGGTGGAATCATCACTGACTGACACTTGGGGGGGTGGAATCATCACTGGCTGACACTTGGGGGGTGGAATCATCACTGACTGACACTTGGGGGGGTGGAATCATCACTGACTGACACTTGGGGGGGGGGTGGAATCATCACTGACTGACACTTGGGGGGGGGGGTGGAATCATCACTGACTGACACTTGGGGGGGGTGGAATCATCACTGACTGACACTTGGGGGGGTGGAATCATCACTGGCTGACACTTGGGGGGTGGAATCATCACTGACTGACACTTGGGGGGTGGAATCACGGGTGTATGTGTCACTCACACTCACTTAAGGTTTAACATGACTTCTTCTAAGGAGGAGCTCTTCAAGTAAGAGGCCCGAGATGCTCCCGCCGACGGCCGCCGGTGGGTGCTGGAGGACAGGAGTCGAGGAGGAGCCTGTCGAGCACAACCTCATCTCCGTCTGCCGTAGAGTTTTGTGTTGTATGCATGGTCAAACATGCCCCCAATATTTTACTCACTAGACATGTTACTTGCCATACACATTAGCCCCCCAACTCTGTAAAGACTGTGGGGACTCCCACTGTGTAAAGACTGTGGGGGACTCCCACTGTGTAAGGACTGTGGGGACTCCCACTGTGTAAAGACTGTGGGGACTCCCACTGTGTAAAGACTGTGGGGACTCCCACTGTGTAAGGACTGTGGGGACTCCCACTGTGTAAAGACTGTGGGGACTCCCACTGTGTAAAGACTGTGGAGACTCCCACTGTGTAAAGACTGTGGGGACTCCCACTGTGTAAAGACTGTGGGACTCCCACTGTGTAAAGACTGTGGGGACTCCCACTGTGTAAGGACTGTGGGGACTCCCACTGTGTAAGGACTGTGGGGACTCCCACTGTGTAAGGACTGTGGGGAATCGAGTTTTACAAATAAATTAGATTGGTACATTGTTTGTATTCTGTAAATTCCTTCTTGACATAAACAATGCTTTTCAAAACAATAATCACTGGAGAGCCCGCTTGAAATACCTGAAGCTGCTCTGGTGTTGAGTCGGTACAGGCACGATCTGACTTCTGGCAGGTTGCCGTTCGATCCTCAATAGTTAAGGTGTCTAAGCAGCGTTCCTTGCCTTCATCTTATCCCCTTATCCCATCCTTGTGGTACATAGTCATAATGGCTTAGCACTTACTCCCGATAATTACCTTACCTTCTCCTAGTGTTACAAAATGTTGTACATTTCCCAATCACCTGTAATGATGAGTACCGCCCCCCCCCCCCCTCCCCCCATCCCGGCGAGTAAACAAAATGCTCCGAGGAATTATCGGGCGCTTGAGGAAGGTGTGAGGGTGTGTGCGGAGGAGCAGTCTTACAGTCTAAGAAAACATTTAGAACAAGATATAGGAATACACTGATTTTTTATCTATATTCAACATGCGATTTTGTACACATATATGTACATATATATGTATATATATATATACATTTATAATATATACAGCTTCGGTTATTATTTTCCATCAAGGCTGAAAAGCCGAACACAATTACACAATAAAAATTAGCTAAGAACCATCGATAAAATCGTCAATGAATTGTAAAAGCCATTATCACTTAAGACAATAAAATTCAAAATAAAAATAAATAACAAATAAAAAAGCCCCCAAAATATATATACAAAATAGAAAATAATACATAAAAAGCGCTAACAACCATTGAGTGAAGGATTCAGGGTTGTTCAACTCGGTGTCTAAATGTTGCGAGGTAAACACCTGGCAAGTGGTTAAGGTCCAGCATAACGGGGCCGGTCGTCAGTAGCGTGAGGTCACTGTGAGTGTGTGGCTACTGGCCTCTGAGTGACGCGTATTACAGCGGACGTATTACAGTGGACGTATTACAGTGGTGTCAACTTGCCAAAGGAACTCATCAGTAAGGTGAGCGATATTCATGTTGTCATGTAAGAGTGTTCAGAGTTATCTTGAGATGATTTCGGGGCTCAGCGTCCCCGCGGCCCGGTCCTCGACCTTGCCTCCTTTTTGTTACACCCCCCCAGGAAGCAGCCAGTAGCAGCTGTCTAACGCCCAGGTACCTATTTACTGCTAGGTAACAGAGGTATCAGGAGTGAAAGAAACATTTTGCCCATTTGTCTCCGCCTCCACCGGGGATCGAACCCGGAACCTCTGGACTACGAATCCGAAGCGCTGTCCACCCAACTGTCACGCGCCCCTGTGACGTGGGTAACGTGAGATATTTCCCGTGTCGAATAATGCAAGTCGAGCTTTTAATAATGTAAACATCACCAGAGGGAGTTGTAAATAATTTACACTAATATGATTAAAGACAAACTGAATGATAATTTGTGGATACGAATGTCTCAGAATGTTACGATTTTTGGTTCTAATATTATAGCTTGCAATACGACATGAAACATTTGTATATAATGAATATATTTTACAGCAACACTCAGGGCTTGGACCTATTTTAACAACAACTAAGAATTTAACATTTAAGAATTTTCTTAAAATGTTGCTTTGAAAATACTTAGAAAAGCTTTTCATTTGAAGAACTGTTGTAAAAAGGTAATTTAAGCATCATATTATTTGTAATCAGAACAGAGATTGAAAGCACCATTTAATAAAGTGTGAATTCTATTTACCTTACATAGTTTAGGGCAAAATATAAATAATATAACTTTTATTTAAAATTAAAAAAATAACTTTTATTTAAAATTAAAAAAATAACTTTTATTAAAAATTAAAAAAATAACCTTTAACGGATTTACTTATGAATTTAAAATTAATTCCCAAATACCATTTCCTGACTCGTTAAAAATTAATAATGACGACCTATGTTTATCGTAAACCAGCATTCACAACATTAAGGTGACAACATTTTTAGGTGTTTGTCGGCAAACGTCTCGGTTCAGGACGAGACCTGAAGCTAAGTCAGATCTTAGCTGACCTACCTTAGAACTTACTGAGCTCATTACTGAACTTCGTGACCATCTTTGTGAACATTTTAAAATAGAGAGTTTTCCCCTCCCAGAGTCAGCAGGAAAGAGCAAGGTCGCCAAATGATTTACATTTTGTAAAACACCAATGATTAAACTTTCACTAATCTACATGTTAGAGTAAACTACATTAAATGGATTTAAATATGAAATGATTTAAAAATAAAATATTTATTTTATGGGACGCGTGGCGCCCAGGAGGCAGCCCCAGCACTCGGGGGCTGGGACACGTGGTGCCCAGGAGGGAGCCCCAGCACTCGGGGCTGGGACACGTGGCGCCCAGGAGGGAGCCCCAGCACTCGGGGCTGGGACACGTGGTGCCCAGGACGGAGCCCCAGTACTCGGGGGCTGCGACACATGGTGCCCAGGAGGGAGCCCCAGTACTCGGGGGCTGGGACACGTGGTGCCCAGGAGGGAGCCCCAGCACTCGGGGCTGGGACACGTGGCGCCCAGCCCCTAGTGTTTGATGCTGGTGGATGTACTTGATGCTGGTGGATGTACTTGATGCTGGTGGATGTACTTGATGCTGGTGGATGTACTTGATGCTGGTGGATGTACTTGATGCTTGTGGATGTGCTTGATGCTGGTGGATGTACTTGGCATCTGTCTGTTCCATTTGCGTAACTATCGAATGCACTAAAATTCTGTTCATTTTTCCGTATTGTCTTGTAACCTTTTTACAAACATAAATTTTCAATACTTTTAAAAACTTCCTCGACTTTTCCCAGCAATTCAATTCCCTTTTCAATCCGAATTGCAGATTACTTATGTGAAAACTCGCCACTCTAGAAATTTATCTAATTAGTTCCAGGCATTAAATATATTGACATTTATTAAAGATAATTCTTGGAAAAAGTCATGCGTTGGCTTCTTCTTATTTTCAAAAGGATTAATATCCCGATAGATG